CTGACCTAGGGAGGATTTTATTTGGGGTTTATCTTTTAACAATTTGACAGAGACACAACTTTAAAATTTGATTTAATTCGGTTTTATCGGGGGGGAATGTATTTATGTTTTGTTTTAAATATGTTGTGCGCCGCCCTGAGTCCCGCTGGGAGAAGGGCGGCATATAAATTAAATTTATTATTATTATTATTATTATTCAAGGTTCCTCTTTCTTGTAAAACAACTATGCAACCATCATTCCAAGAAACAAACTTCTCCATAGTATTGTGCTGTGAATGTCTGAATTTTCCATAACAACCAAGATCTAAATTTGGACAACAACAAAAAAAAACAGTTACATGATAGAAGGAGCACAAAGATTTCCAGAAAAATAGCAACACTTAATATTTATATCTTACTCTTTTTAAAAAAACAAAACAAAAGGACATGTTTATTTTGATGTTTGAAACAGGTTTATATTCCTTCTTGGAGAAATTTTAGATTCACAACCCAAATAGGAACCACTATAACCACCCGTGTGTAAAGGATGCCATGTGGAACTATATACCACATTGTAGCATTTTCTAGCAAGAAAAAGAACGAATGTGTCAAGTTTCCAACTTTGTTTGAAGGGTCTCACCAGCATCAATTTTAATGACTCAGAGATTTCCTGCCTTTCAGCATTCTTCGAAGGATCACTTCAATCCCCTTAGCTGTGCGGATACGTCGAATCCATCCATGTTTGTGCTTTCGCTTGATATTTGATGGCTGGTACTCATTGCCCCGGGTTCTTGGACGAATCTGCTGGTAGTTCCAGGGCACAACTGGCTTAGGAATGCTTTGGAAAGCACTGCCAGACTCTGCTGACCAAAAGGAGTTAAGAATCTGTTGCCATGGGGTGGAAAAAGCAGACGAGATTCGACGCTGCCAAAAGAGAGAGGTCATGCTTTGTGCACCAACAGCAGAAATCTGGGAAAGAGAAAAGGAGAAATCAAAAAAATAAATATTGTAAAGGTCAATTTTTTATTCTGCTTTTCCTCTTACGCTGTGAATGGTATAAAGAATTCCTCTCTTGCTTGACAGCCCTACAAGGTTGATTAGCATATGCTTTGCTTGTGTTATTGCACAAGGATTTTCTTATTCTAACCTTCCTTTGCTGATGCTTAAACTCAGTAAGTCTAGGTGTAAAGAGGGAAAGAGAGGGCTATAAAACGTGCCTATGAAAGCAACCCCATTGTCAGTCATGTGACCCCGAAGTTGTAAGTAATTAATGGGGACAATTTAAATAAACATGATGCTGTTTCTTTGGGTCCTGGCCTATGTCCTCCTTTCTGCAAATTTTAAAATTGACAGCACAAGAATTTTAAAAAACAACATAGAAGGAAAAGACCTTGGATTAAGTATGGATACGAACAAAGGGTTTACTGGAATGTCTTTGGAAGAACTATGAGTTATAAAATAGTGATCAACAATGATGAGCCTTTGTCCACATGATCACAGAAGTACCCAACTTGACAGCATTTCACTACTAATATAAAATGATAAAGAAAGGGTCACGTTAATCCTTTCACGACTGACTGCCAGGTTACCTGTAAAGCCACCTCCAGAATTTGGGTTACTTTTCTGAGAGCCAATTTGAAGCCTACTTACCTACGAACAAACAAGTGGCTACCCGAGTAGGGCCTCCTCAGTCGTGGCACCCTTCCCAAAGAAGGGGGAGTTCCTGTTGCCTGCATTTAGAAAGATAGCAAATCAGGCAAGGCTTTATTACTTTATTACTTTATTACTTTATTTATTTATTTATTTATTTATTTATTTATTTATTTATTTATTTATCAAATTTATACCCCGCCCTTCTCCTAACGGACTCAGGGCGGCTTACAGCCAGTTAAAACAGATAACTAATACAATAATACTAATTTTAAAATATGATTAAAATGAAATATTCATTATTGGCCGTTTCTTTTTAAAATTATTTTAAAACCAAATTAAAATACCCCTTAGGCCAGT